GTAAATTTGCCAGTTTTGAAAGTTGTATGGTACTTATGTAAGGGAATGCCTTCGCTTTTAGGAAATCCACAGTGCATTATTTAGGGGCAACCAGACATCTTATCCGCACTTATCTCAGTGGTTTCAGGGTGGAAAAAATAGGCATATAGAGAAAAAGGATAAAACAAATGTATCAAAGCGTAACCATTTAGAGAATCTGGAAAAAAGTATACAAGAATTTTTCATGATATTCTTGCAACTTTTCTGTCTGTCTAGTGTTACATCAAAATAGAGGTCGAAAGAAAGAAAAACTAATATTTAAAGTAAAAGTGTTGTTGTTTTAATGCCACCCTTGGACATCAAAACTTATCCACTGACAGCGAAGCACAAAAAAGATGATTAAAAGTGGAAAAAGTAAATCTAAGAGACTTGAATAAGGTTGAATAAAATGAACGAAAGGGAAACTTCCCATTCTTAATGAAAGTCGGAAAATCTCAGAGTGTGTTATTTAAAGTATGTCAATCATTCCTCTACCTGGACTCAAAATTGATGATATCCCTTTGGCTGAGACTCTGAGGCAAAGCACGTGAGGGTTCGCAGCAAATTTTCCTGTCCCAAGGTTCTACCCATAGGGTGCCTGAGGCCAAGGATTATTCTCCCACTCCACCTCCCACACCTTCAGCAGAACTGTTCTAGAAAATCTTTCTCTTGACATAATACCATATACTTCTAGGTGGAAGACAGGCCCTGCCCTGGTATCCAAACATCAACTCCAGCCTGGCCAGGATTAAGGGGTTTTGAATCACTCCCTGTAACAGGACAAAAGGCTTCATTCAGAGCGAAACTGGCAGGAACAATGATTCTCTTAGCACTCTCAGCATTCCTAAGCTTCACTCCTGGTGGTATTCCTAGTACACAGACATCTGACTTAAAATATGCCAGCCTTTCTCAGAGACCATGACCAGACAGACCAACCAAATAGCCTAGAAATATTTATGACTTCACCCTGGGTTGCACCAGCCTCTACTAGCACGGCCTGAGCCACCTGTGTAATGCAGCCACGCAGAGTCCAGCTTGGCTCACCCTGACAGCACCACAGGACACTACCCCAGAAGTTCCAGATCGCCTTACCACTCAGTCCATGGCAAAACTACCCATTCAGGTTGTATAAAAGAATACTCAGAACAAACAAGAGAGCACAGGAGTCAGAAACAGCCACCCACGAAACAGTCTAAAGCAGACAAAAAAGTTTTCCAACAGCAACAATCACGAAAAATCAAAATGAACATCTAAGCGAGATTGTGGGATCCTTTTCTCTATTTAAAAACATGGAAGAATGGTTTACTTTTAACATTTCAAATACTCCATGCCTGAAAACAGGAGATGACTATATGAGGGGCCCCCAACCCCCAGGGTGGAAGACCAGTATGGTGAGCATTACTGCTGCTGCCTTCTGTCACATCAGCGGCGGCATGAGTCTCACAGGAGCACGGACCCTACTGTGACCTGTGCATTCGAGAGATTTAGATGGTGCTCCTTATGAGAATATAACTAATGCCTGGTGATCTGAGGTGAGACCAGTTTCATCCTGAAACCATCCTCCTGCCCCTCACCCCCGACGTCTGTGGAAACCACAAAACCGGTCCCTGGTGCCAAAAAGGTTGGGGACTGCTAGACTATATAACCTTGAAGTAGCTATACAGTGGTGAATTTGAGACTTATGTGTGTGTGTATGGGCTGTGTGTGTGTGATTAAAGTGTGAAATACATAACAATTATCCTTTTATTAATTCAACAAGGGTCAACTAAGCACATGTTATATATGCATAATGTGAATGTGGAAAAAGAGTGCTTTCACGAACCTCTTCAAAGGGAGGTTAAAATTCAAATGTTAGGCCAGGTGAAGTGGCTCGCACTTTGGGAGGCCAAGACGGATGGGTCCCTTGAAGTCAGGGGTTTGAGACCAGTTTGGGCAATATGGAGAAACCCCATCTCTCCTAAAAATACAAAAATTAGCTGGGTGTGGTGGTGGGTGCCTGTAATTCCAGCTACTCAGAAGGTTGAGGCAGGAGAATCGCTTGAACCTGGGAGGTAGATGTTGCAGTGAGCCGAGACAGCACCATTGCACTCCAGCTGGGTGACAAGAGAGAAACTCTGTCTCAAAAAAAAAAAAAACATGAAAAGTGCTTTCTCAGCACAACAATTCAATGCAGTAAGTACAACCAGACTCATTTTCAAGGTAAGAAATCCTGAGGTAAACGGAAGGAGAACATAGACAAATGTCAGAAAGATATTAAATGGCCCAGTCAGAAGTCCCAAATTCTAGTCTTCAATGTGGAATAACTGAGTGCCTTGGCAAACCACCCCACTTCCCCAGATCTTAGATTCCCTATATGTTCAATAAGTGACTCGAACCAGAGAGCCCTGAAGGTTGCTTCCAGCCTTCACAAACAAATAAATACTTCTACACTTTCTATTCCAGGATTCAGCCCCATCAAAAAACATCACAAGCCAGATCAGGATAAGAAAAGAAAAAAAAAAAGCTTAAAACAAGACCATTTCAGAAAAACTTTATACCAGGTTTACTCTTTCACGCAGAAAAGGAGAATGGTAATTATTCAGTCGGAAAAAAAGAAATGATGATCGTTCGAATAAGGTACCACTGAAAACTCCAACAAGGAGAGAAGGATCTTTGTTTCAAGTCTCTGCTGATTACTGAGAATACATGTTCTCTGTAATGCAAGGCAACGGCAGCACTGTTTGTGCCCTTGGAGGGCAGAAAAGTGGCATCACCAAGGGGCTATCATTCTCCGCCGCCTTTGTCTTTGTATTCACTTGCTAAGGAACAAAGACACAGTCATGGCCCTCAGGCCCTCAGTTACCTTCAGTTTTTCCCAGGATTGGATAACACCTGCAGATGGGGCTGGATGGGTGCTGGTACCAGAAGAAGCCTGTGTTGGGCACCATTCCCTTTCCTTGACCCAGTGGCTTCCCTGGTACTGCATTCAACCATCCAAATTGCCCTACAACGAAACCATCCTCCCTGGCCAGTTGAGCCTCCCAGATAACCCCCTCTGCCCAAATAAAACCACACTGGGGCCAAGTGCGGTAGCTCATACCTTTAATCCCAGCACTTTGGGAGGCTGAGGCGGGCGGATCACCCAAAGTGAGGAGTTCAAGACCAGCCTGGCCAACATGGCAAAACCTCATCTCAGTTGAAAATACAAAAATTAGCCAGGTGTGGTAGCACAGGCCTGTAATTCCAGCTACTTGGGAGACTGAGACACAAGAATCACCTGAGCCCAGGAGTTGCAGGTTGCAATGAGCCGAGATCATGCCACTGCACTCCAGCCTGGAAGACAGAGTGAGACCCTGTCTCGAAAAAAAAAAAGAAACAGTTAGATTGGACTAGGAAGAGCCAGGTTCCAACCCAAGCCCCATCATATAAGGCGAGTGACTGTAACTAGCTATTCACTTCATATGTGTCTCATCTCCTCCGCCAAATAGTGGTTAATGTAAGCTCTCTCCTCTCAATGAGAAAAGTATGTAAAATGAAACGAAAAACTATTAAACATGGTAAAATGAAACGAAAAAGTATTAAACATGTTCAAGTATACAAAAACCCCTTCAAATTAAAAAAAAAAAAAAAAAAAAAAAAGCTGTCTCTCCAAGCAGACAAAAGGGGTAGATAAAAAGGCTAAGCACAGAAAAAGTAAAAACAGCCAAAAAAAATTTAAATTAAAAATGCTGGTGGATAGAACAAGAAACTGAAAATAACACAACCATTAGATATTACTTTTTATCTAGCAGATTGGTAAAATTGGAAAGATTAGATTTGCAAGATAGGGAAAGATGGGTTTTCTCATACATGTTGTCTGAGGCGGTTGGTCACTAAGGCCCTTGGCCGTGTTTGATAGCAGCCAACAAAATATGAAATATATAAGCCGCCTGGCTTGGCAAAATCTCTTTCAGGATTCCCTGAGAGAAGTATTCCCACATTTGCTAAAGATATATGTATAAATATGTTCAATGAAGTACAGTTTATTTAAATGTTTATTAATTGGGGAAGGGTTAAATAAATTATAGAACACCGATAGGACAGGATATTAGAATGCCATTAAAAAGGATTAAATAGATCTATTGATTTGTTCTGATATGAACTATATTATAAAACTAGAATAGTGCCTGACACTTACGAACCACTCGGTAAATATCTGTTGAATAAATGAATATGTATACACCTTTTCATAGCACTTGACATAATCTATCTCCTCTCATTCTTACGTCAACCCTACAATATGAGCCAAGGGGCTGTTATTGCGCACACTGTAAGGATGAGGAAGTTAAAGTCTAATGACCTGCCGAACGTCCCAAACCGAAGGTATGGAACCAAAACAGAACCAGATCTACCGGTCAGTACCCTTTGGTGGCTGACATCCATTCTGCCTGCAACAAGGCTAACCTGCAGGCAGACCCCGTAGGGAAACGCCAAGGGTTCCGGCAGCTAGAGAGTGACTCAGTAATTGCTTGCTGACTTGCACTGACTGAATCTTCTTTTACCAGCAAAGCCCTCCATTAGGTGAGGCTCGGCTCTCTGGACCGCAGCTCAGGCCCATTGGGCATCTAACAACAGGTCTGAAAGGAGGTCATTCAACAACAGGTCGCCATGGAAACCCTAACCCCCTCCTCACCCCTGGAACAAAATGGAGTGGGAAGGCAAAGAGGAGCATTTGTTAAGCGCCCGCTATGAGCCAGGCACCATGAATAGGGAAAAATTCATCTGAGTCTTCCTTTACAAATCTCCAAAAGAAAAAGAAACTGAGCATTGTTAAAGTACAGAACAGGCCTACATCGCTACTTAATCTAGGTCAGTCATAACTGCAGACGAAGTTTATTTCACGCAGAGGGTACCCCGTTCATCCCTCTTACAGCTGCACGTGTCAGGCAGCATCATTTACATCACACGTGGCCCTGTCTTAGTACAGCCATGTGGTATAATCCTGCCTCCAACACATACTCTACCTATTCATGTCTGGAATTTACATTTCAGCCACACCAGAAAAAAAGATGACTGGCTGATTAATAAAACACAAACATGGCTGGGCACGGTGGCTCACACCTGTAATCCCAACACTTTGGGAGGCCGAGGTGGGTGGATCAGGAGTTTAAGACCAGCCTGGCCCAGATGGTGAAATACCGCCTCTACTAAAAACACAAAAAAATTAGCTGGGCGTGGTGGTGTGCACCTGTAATACCAGCTACTCAGGAAGCTGAGGCAGATAATTGCTTGAACCCAGGAGGTGGAGGTTGCAGTAAGCCAAGATCATGCCATTGCATTACAGTCTGGGCGATAGAGCAAGACTTTATGTAAAAAAAAAAATTCTCTCTCATATAAGCTACAGGACAGCCAATATCTTCAGAAATTTCAGGTGCCATGCTCTTGTAGATTCTTCTTTCCCTTTTAGACATCCTACTCCTGCATTATCAGAAAATGGTGAAACTGGTGCTGTGTTTGGGCATTGTTACCTTGGAACTTTCATCTTAATTACAGAAGCTCTTAGCAACCGTTGCTTAGCAACAAACACATTTGAAATAGATTTGTTGACTGATTATGAGATACTCTAAAAAGACCATAGAGTGAAATTCGCTGATGGAAAAGAATTGCAATGCCCTGGCAAAGTAAAAATATTTTTTTAACTACAGAAGTATTCACAAATTTGGGCTATGAGCAGGTCCCAAAGATATTACTGAACTTCTGGAGTAGTTTCATAACATTTTATGCTGCTTTATGGCTGGTCTATTATTTTCAGAATCAATTCAGACACAATTATCTGACTGAACAGCTAGTGAAGCTCTGGGAGACAGGCCTTAGGGCTTTAGTCAGTGCAGGATTCTGCACAGAAAATCAATGGCTTCTTGATTTCCATGGGCCCACAAGGTCCTCTCTGCCAAACAGCTCTTTCCACTCAAGATTTCAGAAGTGCCTGAGGCCTCCAGTGACTCTTCAAGTCAGAAGGAAAAAGCAAGGGAAGCTGTGCCTCTATCTTTCCAATAATATTTCTGCAGCAGCTGTTAATAAAATCTGTGATAAAAAGTGGAAATGGAGATGTGTTTAGCACTACATCCACGCACATCTTCCCCAGAGCAAAAGCCCAGCCCCCCACATACTCCCCTCACTGAGCCTGGGACCTCCTCCTGCTTCCCGACAATGTCTCACTGTCTGTTCACCATTTTCACCTCAGAAACTGGGGACCTTTGCCCAGTTTCTCAGAAGAAGAGGTCCTCATTGGCAGAGAACGTCCCTCCCCTCCCTTGTATCTTTCTGGAATTCTCTTCTGACCCTGTTTCTCCTCTGGTCTCTTGCCTTTTAAAAAAAAAAAAAAAAAAAAAAAACACTTCTCAAAAGAGAAGTCTCTCTTCACTGGCTTTCCCTTCTCGCTTCCCACTCAGTCCTCAACCCACTGCAAGCTAACTTTACCTCATGATTTCCTCTTTCAGTCACCATTGCTGTGGGTTCTAGAAAGACTTAAATGAAGAGTAGTGTAAGTTTCCTCAGTCTTCTCTACTCAGTAAGTCCTATCTTCCCCGGAAGTCTTTGAAGTTTACCACAGTTGGAGCCTACATCCCTGAGTAAGAAGAATCCGCCTCCACAGAAGGAATAAGAGAACATCCACCAAGTAGGCACCTGTCCAGAACATTCTATCCGGTTGCCCAGAGCAACTCAAGTTCCTCACAGTCTGCTTCACCCATTTACCTTAGCTGCCTGGCCCCTTTGGTATTTGGACTTGAGGCTGCAGGCATGATCTTTGTACTGGCCTTCCTGTAGCCAGTCAAATTCAATTCACTCACGGATTCCTCCATGAAACAAATATTCATCAATCACAGATATGTATCACCATGCCAGGCATTGCTTTTAGGTGGTGACGATATAATAATGTCAAAAAAATAAATAAATAACGGCACTCTCCTTTATCTCATGGAGTTCAGAGAATAAAGAATTACTCAAATAAATATAAAATGAGAACTAAGAAGAACTACACAAGGCTAGAAGAGTTTACAGTAGAGAGAATTTGCCAGACCGGAAAAGGAATCCCTGTTGACAGCTGAGGACTAACAAATAGGCATCAACAAGACAAAGGTGTGTGGTGGGAGAAAGTTCTAGAAAGATAATAACACATGCAAATGTCCCAGCTCCCTCTCAAATGACTTATCCAGTATACTCCCATGATACTATGAAATATGTACATTGGTTTTTATCCATGGTTCAGGGCTCATCACTTCCAGGACCCTTGCTATTTCCTAACTGACTGAAAAAATAAGTGTCTCTTCTGTTAAAGTATGTGGCCTTTCCTCTGTGGTTCCCAAAGCAGCTTTGGAACAGCGTCAGAGTGATGAAGGTGAAAGACAGTCCTGTTTTAGAATGTTGGGGTGCTTTAGGCCTCAGAAAACAGAATCTCTCTCTCAGAGAGACCTTTAACATGGCCTCCTTTTGCCTGCTCCTTTTTCTCCGCAAGACAGGCCATAGAAACTAAAAATATGCTCTCACCTTCCCCTACCTTTCCATCTCTGAACTCCACTCTTTGATTGTGGGTCCTAAGACTCCCATTTCAGAAGGGGTCCTGCCCCATGCCCAGGAGGAAAGAATGCTGCACAGAGGGGCCAAGAAAAACCTGAAAGGACAGGTCTCGCTGGGTTTCCCCACTCCATCTATTAGCACTATTCATCCCTTCTGTGTCTAATCACATTTCTCCATGGGTGTTCACACTTCAATCACACCTATCCAGTGAAGTCTCCAAGAGAACACAGTAGTGAGAACTCCTGGACAGCTGTTCCTAGAGGGGGTGCAGCAGGAGAGGGCATGGAAGCTCTGCACCCCTCCTTCACACTATGCACCTCCTCATCAGTATCCTTTGTAATAGTCTTTTTTGTTTTGTTTTGTTTTTGAGACAGAGTTTCTCTCTGCCACACAGGTGGAGTACAGTGGTACGATCTCGGCTCACTGCAATCTCTGCCTCCCGGGTTCAAGCGATTCTCTCACTTCAGCCTCCTGAGTATAGGTGGGACTACAGGCACACGCCACCACACACAGATAATTTTTATTTATTTAGTAGATACCAATTTATTTAATAGATATTTTCACCATGTTGGCCAGGCTTGTCTCAAACTCCAGACCCCAAGTGATCTGCCTGTCTCAGCCTCCCAGAGTGCTGGGATTATAGGCATAAGGTATCATGCCTGGCATGTAATAGTCTTTCTAATAAACCAGTAAACTAAGTAAGGGTCTCCCTGAGTTATGTGAACCACTCTAGCAGAGTGGTTCTAGCAGATTTACAGAACCCAAGGAGAGGGTCATAAGGACCCTGATTAATAGCCAGTGGGTCACAAGCACAAATAAAGCCAAGTGGAGCTTGAGATTGACATCAGAAGTGGTTGGTGGGGCAGTCTTGTGGGACTGAGCCCTCAATCTGTGGGATCTGGTGCTATCTCCAGGCAGACAGGGTCAGAATTGAATCAGAGGACACCCAGCTGGTGTCCACTGCAGAACTGATCATTTGCTTGGTATGCGTGGGAAAATCCCTCACACATCTGGTCACAGAATCCTTCTGTGTCGATTGCTGTGGGGTAAAAGCGGAGGAAAAACAGTTTGTGTTTTTTCCACTCAGAACTCTCCCTTTAGGGAGGTTCTCTGCTAAGTTATGTTCCTTTTTAAGCATATCATTATTGACTTCTAAACTAAATAAAGGCTCCCACTGCAAAATCAGAGCAATGATTATTTCTGAAAGACTAAGACTGAAGTATAAAATAACGAAGGCCTCATTTTTAAATTATTTACAAAATAAATAAATAAAATATGGACCAAAAATATTTTTCTCTACTTCCATAGCCTCGTTAATGTGTGGTGTGCATCTTTTTTAAACTAACGATTTATATCGGACTGTTGGAAGCTTTCGCTTCTCATCAACTTTCCAACAAATTCTGCTCAGAACAGCTGCTACCATAAAATTTAACTTGCTACTTCCCAAAAAAGTCACTTTGGTGTAAAATAACTTTGCCTTCCTGCTAATATTTTACAACCAATTAAAGCTGAAATGATGGCTGGGACTCTACCCAGTGAGGCTCCAACCCCGGACTTGCCCAACTACAGTATGTGAAGAAAAACACGAAGTCACACGTGCTGAAAAACATACAACATATCTCCAAACATTTGCACCGCCAAGAAAAGAAACTGGTGGGGATGTTTGACAAATATAAAAATGAGATGTGAAAACTTCAGAATTATTATCTGTGTAAATCCATTTCCATGTTTCAAGAGTTTAAAAGACAGAATCATTACATGTTCCTAATTAACCTTTCCAGGAATCATTCTTTGCACACCTTCTGTACAAAAGTCGTACCCAAAGCCAACAGCCTGGCACACCACATTATGGCATTTATTATTAGCTCACAAAATGAAAACTTTCTTCAGATGTTTTCCTAGGTGTCCAAATTGTACAAGAAAATTAATAGGAAGTGGAATTTCGCCAACTTCTTCAACCCTGGCTGCAGAACAAGGTTCCGTTGTCAAAACTCATTCACACCAAGGTGGTGCTCAGTGTTCAAAAGAGGTGACAGGAATGTTTCCTCAGCCAAGCCAAGGAAAATTAATGACCACCACTCAGAAATATACGGTCTGTCAGGGCAATTCCCTGACCTCTGCTCGTCACTGAAGGGCAGAGATGGGAAGGATGAAATGAGGGAGAGCAAAGAAAGGAGCTGAAGTCATTTTTGGAGAAATAAACAAGATTCAATTCTTCTGCAGGATTTTTCCAAGTTCCCTCTAAAGCAATCTAGGCCAAAATCTTATTCATGAAATAAAAGATACGTTTTTGCGCATATAGCAACACACACCATGTAATTCACCCTGCTCCAGTCAACGGTCATGACTTTGTCACTGATGATGACAGCAACCTCCTGCGTCACCACTTTCTTCTGACACTCATGTCCTAGAAACTCCCAGGGGGCCCAATTCCCTCATGCTAACTCTTGGGTCATTTTAATGACAAAATGCACTCTTGTTTACACCCAAGGAGATACCATTACAGTAAATATGTGACTGTCCCTTTAGTGCACACACATGCGCACACACATAAAAGCCCTTTTTTAGTCCATTAATGCTTTAATTTTACAGCAGCTAAAGTGAAAAAAAACTAAAAATCTAAGCCACACATCACATCACTCCTCTGCTCAATACCCCAGCAGCTGCCCCCTCAGTCAGAGCTGCCCAGATTCTGCAGTCCCTGTAATGGCTTACAGGCCTTGTTGGGTCCCCACCGTCCCCAGGCCTCTTCCTCCCTTCCTGGCAGGCTTCTTGCCTGGCTGGCTTTTCCCACATGCCCCAGCTTCACTCCGTGCCCTTGCTATTCTGTTGCCTGTACCAGGTTTTGCTCCAATGTGAGAAGTAGGCTTCCCTGGCCAACTTATGCAAAATTGCAAACTGCCCTCCAACCCCCTGCCCAACCTAGAGAAACTTATCCCTGCCCCTGCTTGATTTTTCTCTATAGAACATATCCATTTCTAATATTTCGCTTATTGTTTCATTTGGTTTCTGTCTACTTCTTTCCACTAAGAAGCTCCATGAGGGCAGGATTTTTCCTCTACTTTGTTCATTGACGTATTCCAAGTACTTAGGACAGAGCCTGATTCACAGGAGAGGCTCTGTCAACATTAAGTAAATGAACAAATGAATTTTATCATCACTGAATAATAAATGAAGGAGTGAGTGCATTCCCGCTATGCAGAAATGGGACAGAGAAGGCGAGCCTTCCAGGGCCTGCTAGGGATGCAGGCAGAGTCAAGTCTGATCTTACTTCCAACCAACACAGAGCAGTCCATGATGGATTCTCTTTCAGACTCATCTGTCTGGCCACCCCTTGACTTCCAATGATCATTAATTAATCTCATAGGTTTGACCCCAAAGACAGTGACTCCAGTATAATATTTAAAATCCATTAGCCCCCAGAATTTCAAAAGCATCTAATGAGCATCTCCCCACCTCCATTTCCCAATGTTACACAATGCCCCTGAGCTTTTCCTCACATCATAGGCTACAAGGACAACAGTATCCGACACTGACAAACCTCAACATAAATCCACGGGACACTGAGGTAGGGGGATCACGTGAGCCCAGGAGTTCGAGGTTACAGTGAGCTATGATTGTGCCACAGAACTCCAGCCTAGGAAACAGAGCAAGACCCTGTCTAAGACAAAAAGAAAAAAAAATCCAGAACAAGAAAAGGCAAAAAGAAACAGGAAGAGGATAAAATTTCATCCAAATTTCTAACTATTCTGCCCAATTGCACATCAAGTAACATTATACTTGGTTCAAGCACAAACTCCACTCTGAATATAAGAACCTCAGAACAGTAATTTAACTTTGTTTGGATAGAAAAGAAAGACTAATGAATGGGTCAAGCTGTAGTCCAGAAATCCAGTTAACACACTATTTCCCTTACTTATTCTTCTAAAGTGAAAAGTGACCTTGAAAAAAGCAACTGTATATCAATTTCCTTGTTTGTTGCAACATGAATAATAGAATAACCCCCACAGAAAACTGGCGCCACCTTATGTACTTAGAACCGAAGTCTTGATCTCCTTGGTCTCAACCTCCCTTTTCAGACTTGGTGGATTTTTTCTGGCTGAGAATCCCAGAACACCAGTCTGCTAGGCCAAAATTGTCTACCCTACACCATGGGCCTTCTAGCTCACAACTGTGCAAAGATTGTGAAAATAAGTAATATTTATGAGTCAGGCACTTTATTTACATTATCTCATGTAAACCTCTCAATGACTCTTGGCAGTAGATGCTATTATTTAATATTATCCCCATTTCACAGATAACAAAATTGAGGTTGGAGAGATAAAGCAATTTCCCATGTGAGTCTAGAGCTCAAAAAGAAATAAGTCTGACTCTAAATGGCCACCCTATATAGCAGGCTGCAAAGGCTAATGTATTATAAATTAAATTCTTTTTTTTTTTTCCTTGAAACAGAGTTTCGCTCTGTCATCCTGGCTGGAGTACAATGGTGTGATCTTCGCTCACTGCAACCTCCACCTCCTGGGTTCAAGTGATTCTCCTGCCTCAGCCTCCCGAGTAGCTGGGATTACAGGTACCTGCCATTATGCCTGGCTAATTTTTTTTTTGTATTTTTATTTATTTTTTACTCTTTTTAATTTTTTTGAGGGAGGGAACGAAGTCTTGCTCTGTCACCCATGCGGGAGTACAGTGGCACTATCTCAGCTCACTGCAAACTCTGCCTCCCAGGTTCAAGTGATTCTCCTGCCTCAGCCTCCTGAATAGCTGAGATTATGGGCTCACACCACCAAACCCACCGAATTTTTGTATTTTTAGTAGAGATGGGGTTTCACCACGTTGGTCAGGCTGGTATCAAACTCCTGACCTCATGATCTGCCTGCCTCAGTGTCCCTAAGTGCTGGGATTACCGGTGTGAGCCACTAAACCCAGCCCAATTTTTTGTATTTTTAATGGAGACAGGGTTTCACTATGTCAGCGAGGCTGATCTCAAACTCCTGACCTCAGGTAATCCACCCACCTCAGCCTCCCAAAGTGCTGGGATTATAGGTGTGAGCCACCATGCCCAGCCATAAATTAAGTTCTTAAAATAAAAATATATATAGAAATAAATATAAGTCTTTACATCTTAAAAGGATGATGTAGGACCTTGTTATATTTGTTAAATGATGCAAAATGAAATAAGACCACATGAACAAAATAGAATGGGCAAAATAGAAAAGTCCGTAATGAACACAGACATGATATATATATTTTCCAGAAATCTATTCCACCTGAGTCAGTGTTTTGGGGAAACTATTTCCAAAAACGTGGCTAAATTATGAAAAGAACAATTCTCCAGTTCAGAGGAGAACTCCTTGTATTATTAATACCATACAGAGAATAAATTTTCTTTAATGCAAACACTAAAATCAAATTTAAAAGTAAGCCACAGGCTGGGTGCAGTGGCTCATATCTGTAATCCCAGCACTTTGGGAGGCCAGATCACCTGAGGTCAGGAATTCAAGACCAGCCTGGCCAACATGGTGAAACCCCATCTCTACTAAAAATACAAAAATCAGCCAGGCATGGTGGTGTACACCTGTAATCTCAGCTTCTGGGGAGGCTGAGGCAGGAGAATTGCTTGAACCTGGGAGGTGGAGGTTGCAGTGAGCCGAGATCACACCACTGCACTCCAGCCTGGATGTCAGAGTAAGACTCTGTCTCTTAAAAAAAAAAAAAAGGAGCCACAAGCTATAACATTGAATTTTTATGTCTTCTGCTCATAGGTCTCAATAGCACCTGTGTCTAGAAATTCACAATATGAAACAGAATATGGGAAAAGTAGCACAGCCCTCAAAAACAGCAACACAAACTCTCCATATTATTCAAAACGTTAGAGATGCTGGATGTGCACTTTCCTCAGTTATCAACATTGTAAAATAAATCTTCATCGCCTGGAGTCTCTTTATTGGCTGTCTTTATTAACTCTTATTCCACATCCAAATTTTAGACAGAATCTAAAATAATTTGAAAATGCATTCCAATGTGAAATATATACAGGAGTACTTTTTGAATTTTTTTTTTTTTTTTTCTGAGACAGATTCTTGCTCTGTAGCCCAGGCTGGAGTGGCGCCGGCTTGGCTCACTGCAACCTCTGCCTTCTGGGTCCTAGTTCAAGCAATTCTACTGCCTCAGCTTCCCAAGTAGCTGAGATTACAGGCACGCACCACCATGCCCAGCTATTTTTTTAATTTTTAGTAGAGACAGGGTTTCACCATGTTGGCCAGGCTGATCTTGAACTCCTGACCTCGTGATCTGCCTGCCTTGGCTTCCCAAAGTGCTGGGATTACAGACATTGAATTTTTTTATTTTAATCTTTGTGGGTACATAGTAGGTATATATGTTTGTGGGGTACATGAGATGTTTTGATACGGGCATGCAATGAATAATAATCACATCATGGACCTCGTGCAGTGGCTCATGCCTGTAATCCCAACACTTTGGGAGGCCGAGGCAGCGGATCACCTGAGGTCAGGAGTTCGAGACCAGCCTGGCCAACATGGCAAAACAGCCTCTCTACTAAAAATACAAAAATCAGTCAGGCATGATTACACACACCTGTAATCCCAGTTACTTGGGTGGTTGAGGCAGAATTGCTTGGACCTGGGAGAGAGAGGTTGCAGTGAGCCAAGATTGTGCCACTGCACTCCAACCTGAGTGACAGAGAGAGACATCATCTTTAAAAAAAAAAAAAAAAATTGCACTTTGGGAGGCCAAGGCCGGCAAATCGCGAGGTCAAGAAATCAAGACCATCCTGGCCAACATGGTGAAACCCCGTCTCTACTAAAAATACAAAAAATTAGCCAGGCGTTGTGGCACACACCTGTGGTCCTAGCTACTTGGGAGGCTGAGGCGGAAGAATCACTTGAACCCAGTAGGCAAAGGTTGCAGTGAGCCGAGATTGCACCACTGCACTCCAGCCTGGTGACAGAGCAAGACTCTCTTGTGAGAGAACATGCAATGTTTCTCTTTCTGTGTCTGACTCATTTCACTTTATACACGAGTACTTTGGAAATCTTGAGTGCTGTGCCTGTAATAAGGCAAAACTTCAACTTTCAAAGTCACATTCAAAACCCAGGTCATCAGTGGGCATCACTGCACTGCTACAGCTCAAACAATTGACACACTTGAAAAGACTAGAAGAGTGAAATAGGGAAAACATTGCCTGGTTCCAGAAAGAAAACTGACTGGGCAAGGGAGGGCTGTTGGAAAAGTACTATCACGCAGTCATATGTGTTCCCATTTATTGAGCTGTGCCCAGTTCTTTTTTTTTTTTTTTTTAGATGGAATTTCACACTTGTTGCCCAAGCTGGAGTGCAATGGCATGATCTCAGCTCACTGCAACTTCTGCCTTCAGGGTTTAAGCGATTATCCAGCCTCAGCCTCCCAACTAGCTGGTATTACAGGTGTGCCCACTATGCCTGGGTAATTTTTTGTATTTTTAGTAGAAACGGGGTTTCACCATGTTGGCCAGGCTGGTCTTGAACTCCTGACCCCAGGCGATCTGCCCGCCTCGGCCTCCCAAAGTGCTGGGATTACAGGCATGAGCCACTGAGCCCAGCCCCCAGTTCTTCATAATTACCCTTTTTCTCTTTTCTTCCTGACAATTCCTCTGCAGAGATTATCCCCCATTGCATGACAAAGACAGAGGCCCCAAGAGATGGAGTTGGCCCCTGCCCACTGATCATTTCCACCCCTCAAAAGCCATATGGGGGACAGCTCTAACAGTCTCCAGCAGGGTCCAGACGTCATATTTTGAAACAACAGTTTTTAGAAAAGTTAAAAATGTCCATTTTAACTTTTCTGGCCACTCAAGTGGTAAAATAGAAAGAATCAGTAGGAACTCTAAGGAAAGAAGAAAAGTACCCAAATCCATTTATTGAGGGACAGGAGAAGTTCTACTCATGTCATTTGGGAGAAGTAGTTTTGCCCTTTCTTTAAAGACCAAGAGAGTTTTCCATTTGGCATCTTTTCAGTGTGGTTGTAACCACGGGGCCAAAAAGCACAAATGTGCTTTTGTACAAATGGACAAAGAGTTATCAAAAAATTAACTCGACGGTATTTAGGAGGCATTGAAAGCTAAGATCTGATTATGAGGATGAAAAGAGAGCGGTGTGTTTGGGATTTGTTTTCCAAGTCAGGAGCAAGCAAGGAAGAAGAATGCTGTTTTCAAAACACAAAGTAATTCAATTGGTGGATAAGATTTCTATCAGGTAATAAAGTTCACTGGGAGAATAGCCTAACCAGGGAGTTTGTCTACTGAAAACAAAGCAAGACCAACCCAGTTCTTATCATGGGACATAACTATGCTGCCTTCACGCTTTTTTTAGGAGCCCATTTACAAAAAATGGCAGTCACAAAAGTCTATTTCACTAACTCTTGAAATACAGATAGAATCCTTCATTACTTAATAAAATAATAAAAGAAGTTTTGAGAAAGTGCAGCTATCTGAGAAAGTTTCATGAGAAAATTAATAATTAAATTGTGAAATTGAAGTACAAATCCTAAATTGCAGGAATATTAAGATTATAAATCCCCACATTAAAATCTGTATATTGAACTAGAGCCAAGGTCACAATCATGAGTTTTTCCCCCTGCTTTTTAAAATAAAGCAAGAACTGTGTCATTTTCTATAAAATTTGAAACCATATTTCTTCTTGTCATTTGAAACTGAAATTCATTTCCTTATGAATATTTCAATACCATTCTCCTACAAGCAAGAACAATCTATCAGACAACAATTTTCTAATTGTTTTACAAGCTTACTAAGTACATAATGTCACAAAGTAAAGGTCCTGGGTGAAAGAGAAAAAGATTATTACTCCTTGAAAATACTAGTGAAATCATGAAAATATGCGTGTCAAAGGAAGAAACAGACACTGTAGCCAACTTGTAATTCAGAAAACCTCTCTATTATTGCTTCACTTTTTTTTAACACTAATCTTTTTTAAGCTTTATTGAGGTGTCATTGATATACAAAAAAATTAACAGCATTGAGGCTGGGTGCGGCAGCTCACACCTGTAATCCAAGCACTTTGGGAGGCTCAGGTGGGTGGATCACTTGAGGTCAGGAGTTCTAGACCAGCCTGGGCAACATGGTGAAACCCATCTCTACCAAAAATACAAAAAATTAGCTGGGTATGGTGGCACATGCCTGTAAGTCCCAGCTACTCAGGAGACTGAGGTGGGAGGATCACTTGAGCCTGGGAAGTGGAGGCTGCAGTGAGCCGAGATGGTGCCACTGCACTCCAGCCTGGGTATCAGAGTGAAGTTCCATCTCAAAAAATAAATAAATAACAGCTTTGAATTTGTTTTCAAAAATTCTGAAGTTCACTGTGCATATATTTCCTTTCTTCTCTAGCATCAAAAACACAGTTAATTTTGCTCTGTTTGACTTTTTCTTAGTGAACCTGTTGAGGTTGAATCGTGTATGTATTGCAGGCCAAAAAGTGCATTAGAGTCCTAACCCCACAGACCTGGGACTGTGACCTTATTTGGAGATAGGGCCTTTGCTGAGGTAATCAAGTTAGATGACGTCACAGGTGTGGGCCCTAATGCAAGATGGCTGGTGTACTTATGAAACGAGACAGACACAGACACGCAGGAAGGGAAGTTAATGTGAAGACACTGGAATAAGACGGCTGGCCATCTATTCAACAGAAGCCAAGGCAAGAGGCTGGAAGCAAATTCTTCCCTTACAGCCCCCAGAAGAAACCAATCCTACGGACACCTTGATTTGGGACTTTAAGCCCCCAGAACCATGAGACAACAAGTTTTTTCCTGTCACCATCTAATCACAATTATCCCCCCCCCAAGCCAGAGTTCCACTGTTTTCTTAGAATATAAGCACTTTTGAAACCCACTCTGTCTTTAGAATTGTTCACAAGCACGGCTTGGGCTTCCCTGATCCCGTCCTTACTGTGTCTGCCATCTTCGAACACCCAGTCATCTGTCTTTTAAACTGTGTGTTAGGCTCATCTGAGCTTAGAAAGCTCCCAAGGGATGTCCTGTGATGCTTTTCCTCCAGCTTTTTTTGGTTATTTAAGCCACCCCATTTATGGTACTTTGCCACAGCAAGCCTAGCAAACTATGACAGAACCTATAAGGACTTTTTATTTTGAAGTCTTCACAAACCATCCTGTACTCATCCATGTGGGAATTTTGCCAGGAATTAATGTCACATCAATTAGGCTATAATTTCTACAATTCCCCTCTTCCCCTTTCTAAAACTTGGGATGTTTTCCCATCCTTAAAGCTTTCTTTTGCTGACAATTTCTCAAAGAGAATAGGCAGTAGTAATGATAGCCAACTTCTATACAGTGTCTACTCTATGTGAATTATTTACGTAGATTATCTTATTTATTCCTTGCAGTAACCAGAAGAAGTGGGAAATACTCTTTTTTTTTTAAGATGAAGTTTTGCTCCTGCAATGGCACGATCTTGGCTCACCGCAACCTCCGCCTCCTGGGTTCAGGCAATTCTCCTGCCTCAGCCTCCTGAGTAGCTGGGATTACAGGCACGTGCCACCGTGCCCAGCTAATTTTTTGTATTTTTAGTAGAGACAGGGTTTCACCATGTTGACCAGGATGGTCTCGATCTCTCGACCTCGTGATCCACCCGCCTCAGCCTCCCAAAGTGCTGGGATTACAGGCTGAGCCACCGTGCCCAGCCCGGGAAATACTATTATTATCAGCAACTGAGACACAGAATGCTCATTTTGCAGAGGGGCTGAGACAACATCACCATTTTATAGGTGAGAAAACTGAGGGGCGTCAAGGTAAAGTAACTAAACCTGAGCCCAAAAGGGAATGGTCCCTTCACTCCCCTACCACATCCACTCTCACTGTTAAGGGACATGATTCCAGTGACTCAGTTCCAAGATCACATCTACAGGGTGTTCTCAGGTTCCTAAGATGCCACCCTCTGGATGGAGAGATTCAAATGTATTTAACGCAACTCAAAACGACTTGATGCTATCTGACTATTGGCTCTCCGAACTTTTACTTTGATTTCTTAATGATGTTTTTGGATCTTTTCTAGTTGTAAATTTGTTCTTCTTCGTTGAAAGGATAAAAGCTAAGTAGAAATTGTGTACAAGCTAAATAGGAATTTTTCCTATCACCATTTATTATCACAATTATCCTCCCCAAGCCAGGGTTTCACTGTTTTCTTAGAATATAAGCACTTTTGAAACCCACTCTGTCTTTAGAATTGTTCACAAGCACGGCTTGGGCTTCCCTGATCCCGTCCTTACTGTGTCTGCCATCTTTGAACACTCAGTCATCTGTCTTTTAAACTGTGTGTTAGGCTCATCTGAGCTTAGAAAGCTCCCAAGGGATGTCCTGTGATGCTTTTCCTCCACCCTTTTGTTAAAAGATGTATTCCCTGTTTCTCTCTCTGAAACTCTGAAAGAATTAACACTTTTTTGATCAGAATTTTATTTTTCAAAGTCTTCTATCTGACTTGAGCCATGTTTTTTTCTTATTTCTTCTTTTGTTTATTCAGTAAATCTTTATTAAAGGCTAACTGTGAGCTAATGACTGGACCAGTCACAGGGATATGGCCCAAATTATTTATTGCAGAGTTTCTGAGAACCTAAGATTCTGTGAACAAGCACAGCCCTTCCTTCTTCCCCTACACCATTTGAAGGCCTTCTTAAACTCTCCATGTGGTGTGAATCCTTCTGTTGCTCTTGCGAACTTCAACATAACAGAGAACACTTGTTCTAAAGTTCCCACAACTGCTGCCCTATCAACCAGTCCTTACTTGTTTTCCAAATTCAGTGCAAAGCAGCTTGAAAGCAGTGATGCTGTCCACAAAAGCAAAGCAAAAAACCAACTGATAATCTCTTTGTTTCTTTTTCTTTTTGAGATGGAGTTTTGCTTTTGTCACCCAGGCTCAAGAGTGCAGCAGCGTAATTTCGGCTAACTGAAACCTCCACCTCCCAATTTCAAGCAATTCTCCTGCCTCATCCTCCCAAGTAGCTGAGATTACAGGCATCCACCACCATGCCTGGCTAATTTTTTTCTATTTTTAGTAGAGACAGGGTTTCACCATGTTGGCCAGGCTGGTCTAGAACTCCTGACCTCATGATCTGCCCGCCTCAGCCTCTCAAAGTGCTGGGATTACAGGCGTGAGCCACCACACTCGGCTCCAACCAGTATTCTCTCTTAAACCTTCAACAGCTAGTTCACTGAAAAAGCCTCCATTACATTTCAAACGTGGACAAGAGGCACACGGTCTCCCCAGCAGCAGGGCTGTTTCCTCTTCATCTCACTCATTCTCACTCAAATGTCCACCATTATCTTTTCACCTTCAAGATTCTTTCTATTCATGGGTTTACCTCCTAGACATGTTTCTCTTTTAGCACAGCAAGGCTCCACACTGTCACAATTTAATAATCAGCCCGTCCCCATTCCATATTGGCAAAACCCCTGGACTTACGTAACTTCTAACGTGTCTATGCATTGCTACAGACAGGTAAGGTCTTAAACATTCCCTGCTGGTCTCTTCTGGGAATTACTTGATCCTTCCTTCATTCAGGGACTTCTTTTATGTTACCACCTGTTTTCTCCTGCTAGGGAATTAATTTTTAAATCCTAGGTAGCAATTGTTCCTCACCCACCACTATAGACCAGAAAAAGAAGCCAGACTTGGGAAGCTTGCTATCAGATCAGGGACTGCTGTCTCCCATTCAGAGTAAAGGTCCCTTTACAGTCAATCAACACATGTTTGTCCAGTCCCTGTTATATACTCATCACCGTATAAAGAAAAAAAACCCAACAACAATATGCTTTTCTTTCAACATCTGCCAAACTGTCATTCTGCAGGACACTTCCTGGGCAGCAGCCCCTGTATACAAATCTTAAGTGCTTTTTACGGACCACTCAGCCCTGCAGGTATATATGACACAAGAGGCACACAAATAAACCAGCTTCCTGACTCACAGCCAATTAAACCTGACATTACATAACTACTGTTTTTAAAAAAGACCACAGAGGCAAACCCTCTAAATAGGATTTTCCTTCTTTAGTAGCCTCTGAGGAAGAACTGTTCTAATATGGTGTTTCTATTTCTGATAGGAATAACCCTTAATTATTACGTGCTGTAAGCATCTAGAAATTTTTAAATAGAATTCCCCTTAATGTTAAGAGAATCAGAGAACTACGTCACTGGCAACAGAAAAGACTTCATACAGAGAGAAAGAGAGAGAAAAGGAGAGATGAGGTGGGAAGGGCTGGGTTGGGGGAAGCACAGATCCTACGGAGTTATTTTTAAAGTTCTGGAAATGTGGGAGAAAAGGCAGAACATTGAAGGAAAATCACATGAGAAAAGAAGATTCTTCCACAAGAGCCTGTTAAGACCTTTCATTCATCAGGAATTGACCATCCATTAATCCCCGACTAAATTTCATTTTCAGGAAATGAAACCATCAAACTTATTTCCAGAAAAAAAAAAATGTGATTTACCAGTAAATGCATATATGGCCTGATGTGTAAACACATGGTTCACTCCTAAGACTTTGGAAAACAGTGTCGTAACAAAGTGATTTTCATAGACTACCTTTATAGACAACATGATTCTTGTAATCCTTTGTTCCATTGCGTGTCAGTGACCAGTAACCAAGAGATAAATTTCAATATTTCACCTAAACAGAGGAGGTGCTCAATAATGTTCAAGGGCATTATCAGTTCAAGCATGGCCAGCAGCAGCTGGGATCATCACATGGATCCTCATGGAAAGATAGGTCTATTGCTTCTCTTTTATTTTTATTTTTGTTAGAGACAGTCTTGCTATGTTGTCCAGGCTGGCCTTGAACTCCTGACCTCAAGCAATCTTTCTGCTTCAGCCTCCCTCTGTGCTGGGATTAGTTGTGAGCCACCACACCCATCCTCTATTCCTTCTCATTGAGTCAGCTTTCTTGGCTGGGGATGCCTTGAATCAGGCTAAGCTGTATCACTTGGACAGCCAAAATAACTCACCATGCCCCCAGTAAAGCTAGATGGGCAAGCTGTTCCAACAGGGGGCCAGTTTCTGAGCACACAGCAGGTGTGCTGTGTAGGCAAAGGCAATTAGGACGATTCCTGACCTCAAGAATGCGGTTTGCTAATAGGACAGACTCGTGTATCTATAAAAACAAAATCTAGAGAGTTATATTAAGAGTCCGCCCATGATTAGGTGCCCCCACACACCTCCTGTTCACAGGCAGCAAACTACTTCTAATCTTCCCCAGCTTCTATTGACGGACTGAAGATGATGGACTTTAGGCTACCATTCATGTCCTGATGGGGTGGGAAGGTTCAGGATGTGATGAGGCAACCCATCAAAGGTAGCTTTGATGGGGACAATGTGAAGCATGCCTGTTGTTTAATAAAGAATTTGAATGGCCTTTGTCCCTGGTTCCTAGGAGGCATACTCTAAATACTTAAAATTTTCCAAGTAATTGGAATGTCATTGTTATTCATGAGCTCCTTGGACCATACCTAAGGGGATGTGATCAAGATGTTTCTCTGGTACAGGGGTGGCTGTACCAGAGAAACCAACTCTGTGATTAGAGGGCTGGGGCTTTGAGCCGGATAAGATCAGCTGACCTTTTCCAGGGAAGAAGGGGGGCAATTGAATAATCACATCACCAATGAGTCAATGAATCATGCCTACATAATGAAACCCCAATAAAAACTCTGGATACTGTTCAGTAGAGATCCCTGGTTGATGATTGCATCAATGTGCCAGAAAGATAACACATCATGATCTCACAGAACAAGGACAGGGAAGCCCCATGTCCAGGACCCTCTCAAACCTTGCCCTAAGTGTCTCTTCATCTGGCTGATCTTGATTTGTAACTGTTATGCTAAAACAATCATCTTAAGTACAGCACTGTCCTGAGACCTGTGAATGGTTCCAGCTAATTATCATATGAGGGGTTGTGGGAACTCATAAATTTGCAGCCAGTTGGTCCAAAGTGTAGGTGATCTAGAGACTCCTGGACGTGAAGTGAGAGCAATTTTGTTGGGGTCTGTATCCTCCACTTGCGGAACTGATGCTAACGCCACATGATTGGCATCAGAATTGCATTGCAGGATTGTAACACCCATTCTCAATTCCTCACGCACTTGCTCTTTAAGAAGCAAAGTAGTCCTTTCAAGGAGCAAAGCTCTTACAGGCTGACTTGACCTTGCCTACCCCAACCCACCTCCCACTCCAGGCTGAGAACATCTATGTTCCAATCTCAGCAGGAAACCAACTCAAATGGGAAGACAAACGCAACCATAATCCAAAGCAGGCTCTTTGACAAGTGATGTAATTGAGGCATGCAAAGTACAGTGGATGCACAAAGAAAGAGTTCAATAATTGATTGAGAGATTCAGAATATCTTTGCAAAGGTAGGCATAGCCTTACAGATGTGCCTTAAAGATCAAAGTCACTCCAATGCCGGAAGGCATAAGAACAGTATGAGTAAAGGGTCAAATCACTGTGTTTTGTTGATAATAATGAAAATTATAAATATATCTAACTTTTATTTTAATTCCTTACCATGTGCCTGAAACTCTGCTAAGCTCATTATTAGATTGGATATTCCAATGAATCCTTAATCCTCTGAGGTAGAGTCTATTATACCCATTTTACAGATGAGGATAATGAGGCTTAGGTTAAGAAATCTGGTGAAGGTTTCAAAGCTAGCAGACCAGTGTGGCTGGAGAGAAGGAAGTTAAATGGAAGCGGATAGAGGAGGTAGATTGTGAAAAGTCCTGAATGTCTAACAGAAACCCAATTTTTTCCCCCTATAGGCAATACGAAGCCATCAAAGGTGTTTGAGCAAGAGAACAGTATGATCAGAACCATGTTTTCAGAAAGTAACTGTGGTGGCAGGAAATGCATAAAGCCCAGGAGACTGGGCAGATAGTGGGGAGAGTAAGCAGGAGAAGACAGTGCAGGTTATCCAAACAGGCCATCAAAAATACATCTACTTACAGGGCACATCTTTCTGCACTGATGTGTGTGTTTGCTGCAGTGTTCTTGCCACTCCATGCGTTGCCTGAATTTGCTGGAATTCACACTCTGGATCAATTAATGGATATAGGAGTCATATTTAAAAACCAAATTCAGTATTGGCAGGCAACCATCCAACTCCTGCTCCACATCCCAGATCTATAGGCCCTTGGCTGAGCTCAGCCATCCTGTTTCTCCAAGTTCTCTGTGTTTGGTTTGCACCTGCTTTTGATGGATAATGAGCATCACAGTGCTAATCAAAGATTTTTATCCAAATGGCTTTTTAGATCACTGAGCTGATGGAGAAGTACAACAGACCACTGGTCCAGTCATCGATCAGATGCTGTGCAAGAATGCACACATCAAACTAGTTCTCTTCTGCCTCCTCCTAGAATTCAATAAGAATGAGTCAACAGAGAGTGTGAAAAGGTAAACAGAAGTCAAACACAAGGCAACTCCCTCAAAGACTGTGCCAAGAAAAATGCACAGCTAAGAATAAATAAAATTAATATGGGATTTCCAGTGATGGAAGAAACAATCATTGCTGCTTCAACCTGGTTCTTCTCATCACTTCCTGTTTTCATGGTTAGGTCTGTGTCCATATTTAGGTTCAACTAGAGAGGCCTGAGGAACTGTTAGACCCATGAGCAGGACATTACTGAATTCAAATAGCCAACCTGAGCATAGAAGAATCAATAATAATCCTTTTACTTGGTCGCTAAAATGTTCTGGGTACTCAGCTCATAAATATTATTCTAGAACCCATGCTAAAAACAAGGTCTCCTAAAGCTAAAAGCCAAAGTCTTCCTAGTAACACTAACTATAAGAACTGAAACAGAGGCTGGTCATGGTGGCTTATGCCTGTAATCGCAGCACTTTGGGAGACCGAGACAGACAGGTCACCTGAGGTTCGGAGTTCAAATCAGCCTGGCCAGCATGGTGAAACCCCGTCTCTACTAAAAACACAAAAATTAGCTGGATGTGGTGGCAGGCGCATGTAATCCCAGCTACTCAGGAAGCTGAAGCAGGAGAATCACTTCAACCCAAGAGGCAGAGGTTGCAGTGAGCCAAGATCACACCATTGCACTCCAGCCTGGGCAACAGAGCAAGACTCTGTCTCAAAAAAAAAACTGAAACAGAACAGAAAAATAATTGATTTCTCCTTCCTCTAGAGATTTGAAGGAGCTCCAAGCCTTCAAAGACAAGGGTGTCATGTGTGGCTATGTCTGTATCTCTCTCACTCCTTGATGTCCTAGGAACCACTCTGTAAAGCACTCATCTGAAAACATTTAAAGAAGACCTACTGAAGTGTACTCTTGCACAGGCCCTTGACACATAATCAATAGAGCTTTAAGCACACATATCTATATCTCGCATTAACCTTGCATTTCACCATGATTTAGGATAAATCTGCTGGGCTTCATCTCAAAGTCTTTTCTAATCTGACATCATTCCATAATAAATACATCATCATAAACAGGCAGAACTTACACATCAAAGGCACCTTTCAGAAACATTTTCAAATAGGACAGAACGCAAAGTGTGATTTGTAAATATCATTCCCTACAACGACTTCAAAAGATACCAGAATGCATTAGATATTGCCAATGGTCCAATACAGTAACTAAGAACCAGATCATTTTACATATACACTGGAACCTTTTTATTTGGCTCAAAGTATCTCCTTGCCTTGTTTTCAATCATCCAATTATAACCAAAAAAGAAAAAAGAAAACTGTCATCCTCTCATGTCAGATACTATGTGAAAGGGTAAAGGTCTAATTTTTTCCATGAGGTATGTAACTAAAAAGTCAGGCCGGGCACACTGCAGTGGATGGATAACTAGAACTCTTACATGCCACAGACTCCTTTGATAGAAACGGTCACTTTTAACAAGGTGACCTTTTATCTTTAAGGGAGAAATATGAGACAACAGTTTTCCATTTGTTATTATAAATAAAACAATGGACTGACATTTGGGCCCTTAGGTGTTATTCGATAGTCTCAAGTTTACAAACATTTCCTCATTTAATCTCTATAAAGTCCCTGGTAGGTGGGAATTATTTTCCCATTGTACAAATTCTAATTTAGCCCAAAAGGAAATAAACGAGCATTCATAAGAAATGTTTTTAGAAACATGTCATATTTTGAAACCAAATCTCTAAGTAGTGAAAGTAAATTCCCATTACGTTCATTACAGATCAGAAGACGTGAGCGTGTCCCAGTAGCGGGATACTTTATCCCTTGATATTCAGGCTTAGTGAACCCTGGCTACCAGTCCACACGGATCAGGCTCCTCAAAGCCTCATCCTAATCCAGTTCTTCTGGATTATGTAAACTCTGTCTGCCTTCCCAAAAGAAACTAGCCTGGGCCTCATCCTAAGCTAGGGGCTAAGTGCAGAGGCCAAGACAGTCCTCATAGTCACTAAGGTGCCTAATATTATCAAGTACCTTCTAAATGCCAGGCTCGTCTATGGCCATACCACCCCGTATGTGCCCAATCTCATCTATGTGCCAGGCTCAGGGGATATGCAGATACACAGGACAGATCCCTTGCAGGATACAGACAGGTAAGCTCATAGTTCCTGCACAGGATGGTGTGGTCTCTTACTGCTGAGCTGAGACCTGTGGGATGACTGTGCTGGACTGAACCCCAGGGAAAGCTGTGGGGTGGGGCATGATTGGCACAAACAGCAGCATGGCTGTTAGGATTCACAAACTTACTGCATGACATTGTACTTTACAAGTAACTTTCAATGCTCTCTGATCTATGAGGCATTAAGAATATGGAACTAACCTAATGTGTCTCATACCTGTCAATCACCACTTCCAATAAAAAATATTTTCTACATCATGATCCAGTATACACATGTACCCATATCACTGAAAAAAATGTTTGCCAAAACAATCCTCTTTTTAGTACTTAAATGAATTTTGATGTTTTCTCTTCTCTCATTCCCTTTTCTTCCTTCTTTAAATTATGGTTATAACCCTCTAACGGGTAGCAGCCCGCAGTGTGAAAATTTTTGGCATAAACCTTTTAATAGGTGTAAGTGAGTTCCTATTATTTATTGACGTACTTCCTCTTCTCCCTTCTCCACTCTTTCTTCACCCCTCAAAAAAGTGCCACTGAGGAAAGAAGGGCACTACTGTGTCCTGGAGGTCTGCTATGTGCCGTAAACTGGGCTACAGGCTTTCCTGGTGTTTCATTACTCCTCACACAGCCCTATGGGTTCAGTATTACTATGCCCATTTGATAAATGGAGAAACTGATGCTTGGCAATCCAGAGACTGGCTCAGTCGGCCAGGATGGAGCCAGGATTCAACTCCAGCTCCATCTAGCTCCAAACCTCCAATTACAACATGTTGTACGCCATGACACATTCTTTTGTAATCAAAGCTAACTTCATAGCAGGAATTTCATCAACCTCCTTGAGATAACTCAAGTCCTTGGAGTGTTCTAGAACCAAACTCAGAGGCCCAACCACAGATAAGAAAAATAATGGTGGAAATACTGTCAGGTTTCAATTTAATTTCCTTCTGGGTCCTCTGATTACCCTTAGGAAAGGCATTAATGAGGAGTGACCAGCAGCGAAATGGTATGTGAGAGGCAGCGGAGCACTGGCCTCGATAATCACACTCAACACAGGCTGGCGGAACTGTGCTGACCGTTCTGGGTGACTCGTCACGAGATGCACCCAGCCCAGCCTCTTCCAGGCAATAGAAAGACAATAAATATTCACGAGAGGGAAGGCAAACACAGCCGGAGCGAAAGTAAACACAACAGTCAGCGCCTGCTGTTTTATTTTTTAAAGTCTTCCAAAACCATGGTAAGTGAAACTCTTTGATGAGAGGGAATCTTATTTGGAAGGATCACTAAAGATAATTCATATCGATACTTGTGTTATTTTAGCCCCATAATTAAAGATACATTTGACTAAGATATGTATATAGTAAATAGTAAATGTAGGCAGGTCAGAACAAATGTTCAGCACAAAAATATGTCTGCGAATAACGTTCAGCCCAAATAATTTTGGGGGGAAATTATTGGCAAGGTCATGTTAAACTATTGCATTGCTCCTTGGTGGCACCCCAGACCTAATATAACTTGACATTTGGTGAGAACACATGAGCTGGCCAATCACTGGCAATGCTACTTCTAAGTGGTAATACCCTTCAGGAAATTTTAAGAACCGATGTGTATTTACAGAGACATACGAAATGCAATTTTGACTTATACACACATCAAATTAAATAATTTATTTGACAAATGGTCTTAGGATTTATACTCATTGTGTGGCTTGCTGGGTAGCAAAATGTTTATAGTTTAGCTTGGCATATAAATTCACATAGAAATATTAGCTATGTTTTTTGTCTAATCATCTAGTGTTATTTTCTCAGCACCTCTTAGTGATAAGAATTTTGCCTGGTCCTCATTTCTTTGCAAGTTCCGTGATGAAAAAAATCCTAAATATGCTAAAGAATCCGTTGCCTGCTTATGAAACATAAAGGCTTGCGAAAACATGGCACGCACTCAAATAGACCAGTTTGTTTTTAAATATTTTAATAGTGTGCACTGCTGCGTCAGGAACGAAACGGGTATTATGCCCAATCTTACATCTAGTGTGTACTATACTTTGATCGTTCTATCAAAAGATCAAAATTTAAATATCATGTAAATTATATTTTATACGTTTTCTCCTTTGCATGAAATCAAACAGAATACTTGTTTCTTCTCTAAACACATGAGAATATAAACAAGCAACATATTTAACCTGAAGAAGTACTCACTACTTCATTCCATTAAAAAATGCCCTCAGGTAGTGATTAAAATAGAAAACCTTTATGTTTTCTTAAAATAATTCTAAATGTCTATGTTCATGCTTTCCAATTTTTAAGCATATTCTTAGTATTTATTTTAAAGATTCTTCATTTAATTATGTATGATTTTTTTCATAAGAAATGCTACGTAAGTCCTCTTCCTAAAAACTGTGGTGAGAGGTTCTGGTAAATCTGTAGAAAGAATAACAGAACTTGAATAACTGATATTGAATCTCTAATAGGTAAGAAAAGTTGTCATTTTCATAACAGCTAAATGTAAAGTGTGAACCTTGATTTGATCCTGGTTTTTAAAAAAACAACTATAAAGAACATCCTTAGGACAATGGGGGAAATGTAAAAATAAACAACATATAAGATGTTATAATAACACATTCGTTAATTTTCTTCAGCATAATAAAGGCTCTATGATTCTTTAAGAAAATGTCCTTATTCTTACTGCATGCATGATGTAGTTTTTAGGGATGAAATGTCACAATGTATGAAACCAACTTGATGTATGAAATGGAAAAATGGCCCAACAATAATAAAAATATTTGGACATATAATTAGATGGATCAAAACATGAAGCCAACATGGCAAAATGTTAATAACAGTTGAACGTCAGTGGAGGAGATATAGATGTTCCTTGTATTATTCTTTCGATTATTTTGCATGTATGAAAATTTTCACAATAAGAAGTGACAGGGGAAGATGAAGAGTTGTTTTCATTTAAGCGTGTGTATATATTGACTTCTGAACCAAACCAGGTATAGATAAAATATTGCATTACATGAAAAGCAAATGTTTCATTTTCTGGGAGCAGTGTACATTAGAGAATCAATTTTCTACCATTGACCCAGAGAAATTATGGTGGCCCTCTGGCCACAACCACAGAGAACAGCTGATTGACATGCACCACCTAAATTAGAGCAGATGCATCAGGATCCCCAGAGGCCAATCCACACTGACCAGCCAGTTTACACAGCAACATGTATCCTTAGCAGACTACGGACTGACAGCAGGGACCTTCGAGCCCAGAACCGTCAAAGCAGGTAGAACCCAAAACTTTGCCAGGCTCCATTTTCTAGTGGTAGCATATCAAGCTATGACATGAACCTAAGGCTAAATTTTAAATATCAGCTCTCTTCTCATTCATTCACAAGGATAGATTCCTATTTCCCCCTACTTATCTGCTCGATAAAGTGGACTACCAGGTTCAATATGAAGCAAAAATCCTGGGGTGCGACCCCCAGAATTCAACTTAAAACTAATAATAATGTACTGGAATCATATGAGAAATTTTAGAGAGAAAAATCTATAAACATTTTATACATGTATATTGAGAGTATTTAAAATAAGATTCAGATCTATGAAGCAATAGAGCAGAATGTTTCTTTTTCATAAGTAGAATCATTTTTTGCAGAGGTGGGGGGAAGCAAATCTCACCGTTTCTGGGCACTCATCACTATTAAGTCCAAGTGCAAAATAGCCCTTCCTGACTCATCCAGAATCTTATAAACTTTTAAAATTAGATTGAATCTGAACTAAGCAATAAGCACTAAATCATTTGCAAGCCACCCAATGCAGTCAAGAACTCTACTTCAGTTGCACCTATTTCTGTCCTTTTATTTTTGATCATGTCTTTTCCTCCCTTACCCAGTTCTCTCTCCTTGTTGGAATTGCTATTCTCTCCCCACATTCTTTCTCTCTCTTTCCTCCTTCCCTCCCAATCCCTTCAGGCCTGCTAGGGCCACCCAAAGGCATTGTTATCACTGGGGTTAAACCCTGGCCCTGCCCTGTACAGAATCCTGAATCCTGATGTGGTCCATAAAGCCTGATGGAAATGGGCTGCTGACGGAAACAGTTACAGAAGAATGGTTCCCTTTCCTTTAAGCAAAGAACAATTATGCTGTTTATGGGTGGTTGGGGCCTTTTCCCTTCTCCTTATGCCTGTCTTTGATCTTTAACCAGTCGTTTATGGTGCTCTGGGAGGGAAGCAGGAAACCATGACACTGAAACCTCATTCTTGCACCAGGCTATTCCAATAGGAAACATGGTATAAGAGGGTTGAAAACATCAGCAAGTTTGGGGAATATCTGTGGACTTCTCTCCAAGAAAGTCCTGAATTCTGTTCAATACCCCCATTTTCTGATTTCTCAAAAAGTTTCTGATTTACCTATAAGCATTAAGGATTAAGGAAACACAAATATTAAAGTCTTCACCAGATGAATATTTGCACATTCCATTTGCTTACCTAAAATTTACTGTCTGTGATAACACACTGTCAGTATGTAATGACGCATGAATGAATCTCTCCAACTCCAGGAGACCTGAATGATGAACCTACTTCAAACACTGTAGGAAGGATGAATCTATGGCAATATTCCAGCCAAAAGGTCAGGGGTCCAGAGGCCCTTCTGCTGCCTCCAGATCAGGCCAACCTCATAGGGGAACTGGTAAGAAAACTAAACCATCAGGGCCAAGAGCTTATGGCTGAAAATAGTCTGGGGTGGGGGGATGCTCACAGGAGTGGAGAAACATGTGCTCCTGGGGCAGCAAGGTAGACATTTGGAAACACTAGCCAAGTCAAACCGCTAGCAGCCTCCAGGAGTGATCTAAGCCCCCTCCTGAGCCTCATCCTCTCAAGGCCTCAATTTCATTACCTGCCAAATGGGGGTAATAGTAGTGTCCCCTAACTCTCAGGTCATTGTAAAGATTAAATGATCAGTATGTATAAAGTGCTTAGAACAGAGCTTGACACATGGTGAGCACAATATAAATGCTAGCTAATTGCTATTCTAGGCTAGCAGCATGCCTACACAACAGCCTTCCAAAGAACGCTTACCTTTTTTAATCCCCACCTACTACAGCACTAACCAGCCGGAAGTACCCAGTCTACTGCAGTAGGTCTACTACAACCGACCTACTACTAACCAGCCAGGAACACCCATGTCTTTGGTTCCATTTTCCAAACCATTCTTTGATTTCCTGTTTAAGCCCAGAATCTCTGCAGTGGTCTCAGCTAAGACCAGATGAGCAAGGCTCCTTTCCATAGCAACTAGGTTCAGGTATGAAATTGCAGTATGGCAACATCCTATGATTAAAATGGAAATTGACAAAGGATTAAAATGGAAATCTACCTGACATGCACTTCAGAACCCACACGTTCTCAGTGGGGAAGTTCTGCAGCTTCTAATAAGCGTCCCTAAGTCTGCAACACTGTGAACCTCTAAAACTAACCTGGTTGAAGTCACAGAGAAGTTACCCAACACATTAGAAAGGCATAAAAAGCAGTGATGGTCCACAAAGTACAGGGCTCCGGAGTCTGCGACATAAACAGGTAACTGGCCACTGCCACACCTGGGTGACACAGTGAGTCAATTCTTCAAAACAGGCAGGTCCACTGGTTCTCAAGCTCTGAGGCTGTGCCACACCTGGCAAGCATGTTGACAATACTTACGCATTACAATAGGGCTTCTTTTCATAGCCTTTGTAGTTGTTCATATTGAGGGCCATCTTGCAGACCTCACAATGGAAACATCCTTTATGCCAATACTGGAAAAAAAATATATTTAAAAATTCAGTACAATGCCAGTTCTCAGCAGGATGGACAGAGAAGGAAGGCTTTTTAGTGCCTCAGAGTCCCTGTAGCTGAAAATACTATAACAAAATGAGTGCAGGGAACTGTGGATGAGTTTACCTACTTTGAGCTAAGTAAATAAAGCAGCCAGCTCTGAAAATTGAGTCTTAAAGGAAGACCCACCACCATATACTGACACACCATGAAAACTGTCAAGGCTCTGTCGAAACAGCACTTCTGTGAACAGCCAGAAAATAATTCTGAGCTCGATTAATACAGAAACGGGGCCCAGAGAGTGGCTTCAAAACCAAAAGGAATCCACTTCAAAGTGTCTAAATTCAGGGTTTGTAGGACCTCAATAAATACGTGTTCACCAGAAGTCAGGCAAGCTGAGGGGGCTGGAGGAGGGCTATGTAAGTACCCCCACACCTGATCAACTTCCGCTAAAATGCTGGACCTCGGACTCTGCTCGGGATGACTGTCAGGATGACAGCTTGTGCTAACGAAGCATTTGTATCTTCAGAGGCAAATTTCCCCAGAACGCCCCTGCCTGGTTTCAACTGTCAGTCACTCCGGATCGCGCTTGGAGGGCTCTTTCCCCGGCTGTTCATCTCAGTCCCTGGCGGGGGGGACCTGGCTGCAAAACCACTTCCCCTGGAATTCCCCACCCGGTGGATTAGACACCCGTGGGTCCAGCTCGCCACGCTGAGCCGGGGCTCTCCGGCAGGGATTATTCTTAGCAATGCGGCAGCGGCCGCCCCATGACACAGTAATTACTATTTGCCTCTCCCCCTCGCCGCGGTCACAGGCGCTGGGGGTAAGCGGGGGAGATGGGGACACGGGCGGATCTGTGGGGAGGGGGGTGGGGGTATTGTGGGACACCAGTGGAGGTAGAGGGGGCGAGGCTCGCAGAAGCGCCCCCCCCCACCCCGACCCCGGTGCCCAAGCCTGGTCCCTCCGGCCCCGGGGCTGCGCACCACCGTGCGCCCTCCGCAGCAGCTCGGCCGATGTCGCGTAGTCCCGCAGCGCGACAAAAGCCCTTCCCGGTTCCAACATCACAATCGAATCGCCAAGCGTGGTATCTGACACTCCCGCAGGCGTCTTCGTTCTCGCGCCCTCCCCCTGTGCCAAGGCACACGCACACGCACCGACCCACTCATCGCTTTCCATCCCCGGTGCCAAAACTTCTCCGAGCAGGTGCAGCCCGGCGCCCGGCAGGTCCAGGCTGGCCCGGCGCCCCCTCGCTCACCTTATCCAGGCAGTTGACTTTCTCCGTGGGATACACGACTTTTCCGCAACGGGCGCACTGGGGGTTCATGATCGCAGTTCCCGGGGGCGACGGTGGCGGCTGCGGGCTCCGAGGAGCCGCTGTGACATCCCCCGGCGATTCCCGAACTGCCTCCGGGCAGGCGGGAGGGCTGTGGGCGGCCGGCGCCGGGTGGAGAGTCGGCGCCGGGCCCCGGGCGAGTGCAAGGGGAGGGCGGCGGGGTCTGGCGCCTGGGGCCCGCCGCGCTCACGGGGCTCGCGGGCGCTAGGGCTCGGCTGCTACTCCGGCTCCGCGCCGCTGGGTCTGCGTCGCTCGCACTTCAGGTACTGGTGACTCAGACAGCCACTCGCGCCCGCCCCTCGCGCTCACCCGCTCCCCCGCCTTGCCGCCTCCGCGCAGGCCAAACCCACCGGCGCGCCCCGACAGAAGTGGCAGGGAACGTGCGCGTCGGGCACCCTGGGAGGGGGGGCACAGCGGCGGAGGGGGCGGAGGGGGCTGGCAGAGACCCGGAGAGCTCCGCTGACCGCCACGGGTGCGACTGGGAGGTCTGGGGAGCGAGCCTTGCGCCACCTCGGCTGCTGGCCAGGGAGCCCAGGTGGGCGGAGGCTGGGGGGCTGGGGAGGGAGGGATCGAGGCGGAGAGGTGACAAACACCGGTGGGGAGAGTGCTCAAACCCGCGCACTCCCTCCCCCACTCCTCTCTTCCCCAGCCAGGGGCACCCTCATCCAAGGCTGACTGATGTCCCCGGCACCCATAGGTCGCGGGGAGTGCGGGGCCAGGGTGCGTCCTCCTTCCTCCTCCTGCGGGTGAAACCGGGAACAGCGGCGCCCAGTCCCAGGGCAGAGGCTGCCTCTGCTGCGCTCAGCGACGCGCCCAGGCCCGGGAGCCTGGAGATCCGCGGGGAACCCGGAGACCCGCGTCCCAGAGGCGCCGGGGGTTGCGCTGCACCCGCTCCCACAGGCCTCTTCCGAGAGGACGCGAATTCCGCGTGCCCGCGGGAAGTCCTCGGATCCTGGATGGGAAAGTCTTCTCTCACCGGCTCCCAGACCCCGCACTTTTTAACATCTGTCCTTGCAGAGACTGGTCATTTTAGGCCCGAGTCGAGCCTCTCTTGATTAATAAATGGCCATTGCTCGTTTTAAGTGTGCATGGATGTATATACATTGTCTTGTTTTGCAATTCAACCCCGCAAGGATCTGGGAAAAAGTTCGTCACCTGCATTAAGGAAAGCAATTACAAACTCATGGTCCAAACCAGAAGAGCCAGAAAATCAAGTAGAAGGCTCAGGGTAGGATGAAACCAATGGGAACAGTAATCGTTTCTTCCTTTTAATGAGAGGTCAGGTTATTGGACTCACGTGATGAGAGGCAGCCAAATGAATGGAACACAGCCTGGGTTCAGAGCCTGACCCCGCCATCTGATGATGTGACCTTGTGCAAATTCTTAGTGGCTCTGTGCCTCAGTTCTTTAATCTACAAAATGGGAATAAGTATGCAGCTAGCCAACAGCTTCTACCCTCCTGCCTTGAGGATTAAATGGGTCAGCAATTCTGAAGTGCTTCAAACCGCCTGGCTCAAGGGAAGCTCTAGGAAGAGTCAGCTAGGATTACTGTAAACTGGTTATAACAAAGAAGCGAACACATTCCGTTGCTAGCACACAGATTAAGACTCAATCATGCCACATACCAGCTGCCACTGCTCTGACAAATATTTCTATCATTTCAAAAAAATATCATAGCTGCAGCTTTTCATGACAAAAGAAAACCCTTGGTTTCTGGGCCTCTTAAACAGCTGCACTGATGGACACATTCACAATAATCCTGAGCTGTTTGACTTTCCAGAAGACCTCACTTCTTTTAAAGTATTCACCAAATGCAACAGGCCCTGGCTGCCCACTCACGGCCATGTTCGCAAGTCCACCTTAAAAGCAAATAAGGGCCGGGAGCGGTGGTGGCTCACGCCTGTAATCCCAGCACTTTGGGAGGCCGAGGCCGGTGGATCACGAGGTCAAGAGATGGAGACCATCCTGGTCAACATGGTGAAACCCCGTCTCTACTAAAAATACAAAAATTAGCTGGGCATGGTGGTGTGCGCCTGTAGTCCCAGCTACTCGGGAGGCTGAGGCAGGAGAATTGCTTGAACCCAGGAGGCGGAGGTTGTGGTGAGCCAAGACCGCGCCATTGCACTCCAGCCTGGGTAACAAGAGCGAAACTACGTCTCAAAAAAAAAAAAAAAAAAAAAAAGCAAATAAAATGAGCATTTACTGTCAAAGAGGATCAATTGTCTTTTAGAAATATTTCAGAGATCATTAGAAATGTATGAGGAAGGAAAAAAGAAAGTATGTGCTCACCTGAAAGGCAGTTGTTGTTTTTTTTTAACGTTTATAGTTTGAATATCTTATTCTCTCATTCTTGTCGGAGCAAGAATGCTGGTAATATGTGATATTTATTTATTTAGAGATGGAGTTTCGCTCTTGTTACCCAGGCTGGAGTGCAATGGCGCAATCTCAGCTCACTGCAACCTCCACCTCCTGGGTTCAGGCAATTCTCCTGCCTCAGCCTCCTGGGTAGCTGGGATTACAGGCATGCGCCACCGTGCCCAGCTAATTTTTTGTATTTTTAGTAGAGATGGGGTTTCACCATGTTGACCAGGATGGTCTCGATCTCTTGACCTCGTGATCCACCCACCTTGGCCTCCCAAAGTGCTGGGATTACAGGCCTGAGCCACCACACTCGGCCATTATATGATATTTATAGCTGATTACTTCCGACCTTTTAACTTTAAGTGGTATTAATCTTTTTTTTTCCCTAAGACAGACTCTAACTGTCACCCAGGCTGGAGTGCTGTGGCACAATCATGATTCACTGCAACCTCGACCTCGAAGGCTCAGGTGATCCTCCCATCTCAGTCTCCTGAGTATATGGCACCAGAGACCTACACCACCATGCCCTGCTAATTGTTGTATTCTTTCTAGAGATGGGATCTTCCTGTGTTGCCCAGGCTTATGTCAAACTCCTATGCTCCAGTGATCCTCCCACCTCAGCCTCCAAAGTGCCAGGATTACAGGCTTGAGGCACCACACCCAGACACATTTTATAACTTTTTACCAAATCACCAATGATCACAGTGCCTGACATATAGTATGAATCAAATGAACAAATACATTAAAAGCAGTATTCATGTGATGTTTTATCCTCTGAAGAAGCAATACATGCTCAAAGTTACATGTTTCTCTCATTTTTTTTCTGACTTTCTACATCAAACCAGCTTCTAAGTTCCTTAATACCATTTTTACTGATGTAAGAAGAATGGTAATACCATCTGTCTTAAAAAGACTTCTTTATTTCCAGATTCAAAGTACTATAAACAAAGAATTGGCAGAAGCCTGTCCTCTAGCCAGCCTTCCGTCTTCAAGCAGATAAATGATTGAATTGTCTACTAAGGAGATCTTTTGCCTTCCATGTCTTTTTCACTTGACTGGTTAAGAAATTGTTCCTTATGTAACTCTACCTCAACATCTCTACTTTAATTTCAAGCCTTTTGTGTCGTGGGGACATCCACAGATGTAAAAAATAACTGACCTTCATCACCACCCTAAAAACACTTCTATATTTACAAAGTTGAATTTTTTTCTTTAGCTAAAATCCCCAAATCTGTTTACTTTTTCCTATTTATGAGAGCCCTATTTATGCAAATCAATTATAATCACCTTTATTATTCAGACTACATAAATTGAACTCCAAATATAAGTTTTAAAGCATAACTGATATCATAAAGGCCAAACAATGATTTTGACTAACATTACTTTGGATGCAGAGTGTGATGGATGATTTTATTTGTTCACAACTTTTTTTTTCTCCTATCTTGGCACACTTCCTATCAGCAGTGCGTCTTTCCCCCCTGAGCTTGACCATGTGACTTCCTTTGGCCAATGGAATGTGAGTGGACATGACATATGTTGTATCTGAATAGAAGCTTAAAATGCACTTGCATAGTTTGCCCTGTTCTCCCACCCCTTTGAGCTTTGGCCCTTGGCCTTGAAAAGATCGTACCGCAGTGGGGGTGACTGCTTCTTTGACTTTTGTCCAAGAATGAGATGGGCTGACCCATGCCCAACAGAGCCACAGCAATCCCACAGCCCTCACATGACGGGAGTAAGAAATAATTATTGTGATGGGATTTGGGAGATTGTTTGTTACTGCAGCAAAAGCTCACTAATGTCAATGATGAAACTTTCAAGAGAAATGTTTTCCATTTCATCACTTCATCAAAA